GATACTCCTAGATGGCTAGATCAGATATGACACACTGAAATAGACACCCTTAGGCTCTGGATATTACACACCAGAAGTTGGATATTACTCACCAACACTCTAAACTCGACAAAAGCAAGCTTAAGAGAGAAACAAAGTTTTTGAATTGAAAATGTGATATCTTATTACTGAAATTCGTCCAGCATATAAAGAGAGAGTGTCTTACATGCAAGACACCTCGAAAAATACAAGAGAAAATAAAGACAAAGGCTCCTCTTGAAAACACACAAAGACTGAAGTTTGAAAATAACATAAAAACTTAGATATAAAGATAACATAAGGTAGAAATGTGGTTGGTCTGAGATCATCAGCTAGGTGATATGTGAAGTAGTCTTGTGGCCTCGTTAAAAACCTTCCTCCAGAAAACCTCGTGGGACAAAACTGGAAGCGAGGAAAAGAGCACACACAATCCTACTTGCCTAGATGATGATCAGCTTGAATGTGGAATAGCTTGAATGATGGTTAAGATGTCTTGGATGATCAAGCTTCTGCCAAGACAAATGTATTCTTCTTGTTTCACACAATTCTTCAGTGATGCATCCTCAGCTACAAGCTCTTCGTGTTCAGGTTCATGCTCCCTTTCCTTGGTGCTTTCCATGATCACATCAATACCACATGATAGCCCCACAATGATCGCATTTGTATGTTGCATCACCTTCGTCGATGTATCCTAAATTAACCAAAAATAGATCTGAGGATTCATTGTTAAAGATCGTTTATCATGAAATATGCTTACTAAAAAATATGAATGCAATTATCATACTGTTTTTTGCCTTCGAAGAAGTAGTAGTCTTGAAGGGACCAACAGTGTTTTGTTCTTTATAGTTTTCGTGAATATCTACCCCTGATACAGACTTTGTTTCACTTTCTTCACCACTGCAATCATAATTTTGTTCTCCATATTCATCAGATGCCCCTGACATTAAGATCATTTAGTTAGAAATATCACAAATTCATATTTCTATAGTTCAAACCTTCAAGAACCTTGCGTGTTATAAGGATAGAGCACTATAAATTACCCTCGTAATCCTGATATATTGACTCATCATTGTCTTCACTCGAGTATCCATCACCATCAGGGCTTTCGACAAATTGTGCTGTGATTGATTAAAGAGATAAGTGAGTTAGACTGGATGTACTGTCTCAACATATTGCGAGACACGGCATCAGATGCAACAGTTATACCTTTTCCTTTATATGAAAATGCTATTCCTTTTCCTTTACCTGAAAACAAACAGATTTGATATATAAAAAACATGATTAAGCAAAAATGACCTCCTGCTAAAACACTATTTAAAACACTATGATTAGAAGTACCTTTTGCTGTTAATGAGGATTTAGATGAATCAAAGGTAGGAATCTGAGCAGATTTTTGTGTCTGTGTCCTTGAAGAAGTGCATGTGAAATTGGTGGTTCTGAGCACATTGACGACTTACCAAAAATAGAATCATTCGTTTTTAGCCTTTTAGCAGGAGTACACGGAATTCCTTTGAGTTGGTCACCTGTTTTAGTTCCATTAGACTCAGTGGCTCTGCCAATTCTTGTATTCTCTGTAGTTCTCTGCAAGGTAGTAGTCAGACCAGATTATTGTGTCTCTGCCTTACAGAATGAATTACATTGGTAACATCAGATAGAACACTCTCAATGCCTCTTTTCAATGGCTTCAAATTATTGTATTGAGTTGAAAAGGTTTGGGAATGCTGGTGGTCTTCTTTAGTGTCATTTAATGTTCTCTTCCTCTTAGATTTAGAACCTTGAGATATTGAGCTTGAAGGAAAAGAAATTGGTGGTGTCTGAATGTTAGATTGAGCTTTGAGATGAAAAAAAATAAACATAGTGAATATTATTTCAAAAACAAAACTACATACTCAAGTAAAACAGTAGACCACATCGACGACTTACAGTCAACAGATTCATTCCTTCTAAACCTCTTAGCAAGTGGACAGGGGTTTGTCTGAGTTACGTTTTCCTTATTAATTGCATTTCACACTGAAGTAGTAGAAATTGGAGTGGAGACCAAGTTGTCTTGTGCTTTGTTTCATATCAAATTGGTCACATGTATGAAAAACAAGAGATTATTCTTCAACTGAGTAAGAAAATACACTACAAGAAAACTAAGCCTTTACTAGGAAACTTTACTAGGAAAATAATTCCTCGTAAAAATACTACGAGTTTACTTCGAGTTTACGAGGAAACCATTTTTCCTCGTAAAGTTCTTGTATACTTACGAGAAAACAGTTTCCTCGTAAACTCGTAGTAGACTTACGTGGCCCTTACGAGGAAAAAGTTATTTTCCTCGTAAACTCATAGTAATTCCTTTCCTCGTAAAGTCCTAGTAATTGTTTACTACGAAATTAGGAGGAATGGATTTGTTATTACGAAATTAAGTGGAACTGGATAGAAAATATCGAATTTAAATAAAAACGTGTTTTGTACCTACTTTTCCTAGCAATTTCCTAGTAAATTCTCAGATTCGAAAATTTCTATAAATACCACCATATGTGATTCATTTGAAACACACCAAAAAAAAATCAGCTATAAGCTTGATCAAACACAAAAAAAATGTCCGGTCCGGGAAATATTTTCGAGTTGCGGAAGTGGATTTATTCACACAGAGATAATAACGGGAGGGTGACGAAAGAATTTCTCGAAGGGTTGGAGACATTTATGCATCAAGCAGATTCTACACCACTCCCGCAGGAAAGTGGTAAGATGTTCTGTCCTTGTCGGAAATGTTGCAATACCAAATTAGGCCCTCGTGAAAATGTTTGGAAGCATTTAGTAAATAGAAGTTTCATGCCATATTATAATATATGGTATCAACATGGAGAAGATGCTAGTTGTAGGAATGAAGGTAGCAGTAGTAATAGCAATTTTCAGATTGAACCGGTTGAGCATTTGCGTAATGAAGGTAGCAGTAGTAATAGCTATCATCACCAAGAGGAACAAATGGTAGATTGTGATAGGGTTCATGATATGGTAGGTGATGCCTTTGTTACTCATGATGATGATGAAGGTTAAGAACCTAACTTAGATGCCAAAAAGTTTTATGAAATGTTAGATGCTGCTAATGAGCCAATTTACAGTGGTTGTAGAGAAGGTCTGTCTAAATTGTCGTTGGCTGCTAGAATGATGAGTATTAAAACCGATTACAATCTACCTGGAAATTGTATGGATGCATGGGCAGACTTGTTTAAAGAGTATTTGCCAGAAGACAATGTGTCTGCTAAATCTTATTATCAGATTCAGAAATTGGTATATAGTCTTGGGTTGCCCTCGGAAATGATAGACGTTTGCATCGACAACTGCATGATTTACTGGGGAGATGATGAGAAGTTAGAAGAATGTCGATTTTGTAAGAAGCCACGATTCAAACCGCAAGGTCGAGGGCGTAATAGGGTACCGTACCAAAGGATGTGGTACCTACCAATCACAGACAGATTGAAAAGATTGTACCAATCTGAGGAGACTGCTGGAGGGATGAGATGGCACGCCGAGCATACTCAGACGGATGGAGAGATGACTCATCCATCAGATGCAAGAGCCTGGAAACATTTTAACAATGTACATCCACATTTTGCTAGCAATAGCCGGAATGTGTATCTTGGATTATGCACTGATGGATTTAATCCATTTGGAATGCCTGGGAGACAATATTCATTGTGGCCGGTCTTTCTTACACTGTATAACTTGCCACCGAAGATGTGCATGCGACGAGAGTTTCTATTTCATGAGCATATTAATACCTGGTCCAAAACATCCAAAAAGATCTCTCGACGTTTTTCTACAACCATTGATAAAAGAGTTGAAAGATTTGTGGTCAACAGGGGTGAGGACATATGATTTTTCAACGAAAACAAACTTTACGATGCGAGCGATGCTTTTGTGGACCATAAGTGAATTTTCTGCATATGGTATGTTGTCTGGGAGGACTACACATGGGAGATTAGCTTGTCTATATTGTAATGGAATGACATATGCGTTTCGGTTGAAACATGGTAGGAAGACTAGTTGGTTCGATTGTCACCGTCGATTTCTTCCCATTCACCACCCATACCGAAGAAACAAGAAATTGTTCAGGCACAAAAGGGTTGTCAGAGACACTCCTCCTCCATATTTAACTGGAGAACAAATCGAAGCGCAAATCGATTACTACTGTGCTCTGGAAACAGCTCCTCGTGGTGGGNTAGGAAGACTAGTTGGTTCGATTGTCACCGTCGATTTCTTCCCATTCACCACCCATACCGAAGAAACAAGAAATTGTTCAGGCACAAAAGGGTTGTCAGAGACACTCCTCCTCCATATTTAACTGGAGAACAAATCGAAGCGCAAATCGATTACTACTGTGCTCTGGAAACAGCTCCTCGTGGTGGGAATTGGCATGTTGCCAGTAATATGCCTAATTCTTATGGTGTTCAGCACAATTGACACAAAAGTGTATATTTTAGGAATTGCCATATTGGAAAGATCTTCTTTTGTGCAACAACCTCGATGTGATGCATATAGAGAAGAACTTTTTTGAGAAAATCATGAACACTATATTGAATGTCCCAGGGAAGACGAAAGACAACGTAAAATCAAGGTTGGACTTACCCGATATCTTCTCAAGGAGTGAGCTACATATAAAAAGCAATGGGCAAGTTCCAGTTCCAATATTCAGACTATCATCAGAAAAAAAATTCTGCGTTGCTCAACTGGGTGGCTTCAGAAGTGAAGTTCCCTGATGGGTATGTTTCAAATCTCTCAAGATGTGTTGAGAAAGGGCAAAAGTTCTCCGGGATGAAGCCATGATTGTCATGTCTTTATGCAGCGCCTACTTCCATTTGCGTTTGCGGAGCTACTGCCGGCAAAAGTACATGAAGCACTTTCAGGTAATTAATTAATATAATACGATGACATGATTAATTTATTTCTATATATATATATATATATATATATATACTTATGTGGATAATTTTTTTTCGTATATATATAAGGAATTGGAGCACCCGCACTCTTAAAGTGGAAGTTGTCCAACAACTTCATGAAAACATCCCCGTCTTAATCTGCAACTTGGAAAAATATTCCCGCCAACTTTTTTCGACGTCATGGAACACCTAGTTGTCCACCTCCCGTATGAGGCATTACTTTGTGGACCCGTGCATTATGGATGGATGTATCAGTATGAAAAGGCCATGAAAACTTTGAAAGGAAAAGCCAAAAAACTAGCAAGAGTTGAAGGTTCTATTGTTGCGGAAGTTTGACGGAAGAAACATCACATTTCACTTCGTACTACTTTGCACCGAAAGTACGTACAAGGAAACGAGCTACAAGAAGATATGATGATGGTGGTGTCGTGCCGACATATATGGAAGATGATGTTCCAAACATCTTTTGTCAAATTGGGCGATTGGGTGGGAAATTGAAAGAGGTTTGGTGGTCGAGTGATGAAGACGTCCATAGTGCACACCTTTATATTCTTCTTAATTGCGAGCATCCATTGATTGCTTATTTTCAAAGGTAAATATATAAACATACACACTTATATATATATATACATATATATATATATATATATATATATATATATATATATATTTTTTTTTTTCAATATTAAATATATAACATAACATATATGATTTTACAGTCAATTTGAGACTCAAGTCGAGGAAGCAATACGTGGTATATCGACAACTGAGTTAGACAAAAGGAAAGATCAACACTTTATCAAGTGGTTGAGGAAATATTTATTTATTTATTACTTAAATTGTATGAATACATTACCACAAAGTAAGTCTAATGTCTAATTATTTTATTTTTTGTTGCAGGTTGATTATGACGATCCTAAGTATCCCGCATGGTTTCGCGAATTACTTCAAGGTCTAGTTGCAAAGGTCACTACATCGTCGATGTATTTCACCCGAGGCTATACTTTTCATACCTATGACTATGGTAGACACCGGGCGACAAGTAATTATGGAATATGTGTGAAAGGCGAAACATATTTCTACGGGATCTTGCAGGAGATTTATGAAGTTCAATTCCCGGGTATGGGTTTGAAATGCGGTATCTTCAAGTGTGAGTGGTACGTCCCCATCGTAAACAGAGGTGTTCGGATTAACAAGAACGGTGTAGTTGATGTCAACGGTGGACGAAGGTACACCAAATTCTTTTTTTTTTTAATAACCAAGTTTCCAATATTAATTAATTTTTACGTATTGATCTTTATTTTTGTAGGTACAACAAATTCGAGCCTTTCATATTAGCTTCCCAAGCAGATCAAGTTTGCTTCATTCCATACCCTCGGATTACTACCTCGGGAATAAACATGTTAGCTGTTATCAAAGTTACACCTCGAGGACGAATAATCGCTGGAGAAGAACCACCATTACAAGAAGAAAACACCCATGAGATCGAGGAAGCTGAAGAAGAAATTGATGAGTTCCTACTCATTGATCCGCATAATCGTCAATACGAAGATGTTCCTGATCACTCAACGGACGAAGGTGTAGACGACGAGTTTTTAGAAAATGATGATGTTTCAACAGATTACGACAATGTATCCGAATGAATTATGTATGTTTATAAGTTTTTTTAATCACAAAATCAATTTGGATTATATATGTTTTAAGTTTGTTTAATCACAAAATCAATTTGCATTTGGGGTTTGGGGTTTATGTATAGAAGAGGTTAGGAGTTTGGTTGTAGAAGAGGTTATAAGTTAAGGAAGTTGTGGTTTGGGGTTTCGAGTTTAGGGATTTATAAACCCTTTCCTCATAAAGCCCTAGTAATAGAAAACACGGGCATAGCAATTTCCTCGTAATGTTCTAGTAAGACCTTACTAGGGCTTTACGAGGAAAAAAACGCGGGCATAGCTATTTCCTCGTAAAGGGTTTTCCTCGTAAAGTCCTAGTACAGCCACTACGAGGATCTTACGAGGAAATAAAAACACGGAAATAGCTATTTCCTCGTAAGGTCCTAGTAACATTACTAAGGCTTTACGAGGAAACAAAATTCCTTATATATACTCGAGCAATCCGGTTTCTCATTTGCTGGTAACCTTCTCTTTAAATCCTCTAAAGGTTCTCTCTAATCCGTAGTTAGGTGATTAGATTAGGAAATTTAGATTAGGTGGTTAGTTTAGGGAATTTAGATTATGTGGTTAGTTTAGGTAATTTAGATTAGGTGGTTAGTTTAGGTAATTTAGATTAGGTTGTTTTACTTTTATTTACTGTTTTTTTTTAATTATACGGGAATTAATGTTTTAATTTTTTTTTTTTAAATATAGATGCTTAGACAGAGCAAGCTTGCTAAGGCTGCTGCTAAGAGGACGTCATCTCTCGAGGGGATAAGCTACGGAGATATGTTTGGGCGTCAGGATGCTCCGGGTTCATCTTCGTCAGCTCCCGGTTCATCTTCGATTCCCGAGACTCAGAGAGCTTCTACGGCGTCCCGGCAACCACCTCCTCCTCCTCCTCCTCCTCCTCCTCCACCGGTTGGGGTTCATCCCGATTTGCAGGTGCCGCCGAACGCACCCTTTGCGGTGTACACGGTGGAGGATATTTTAACCCTTCCAGGCAGAGAAGGGCTGGCAGAGTTAGATCCTTACCGACGGGACGGCCAAAACATATTATGGTATGTTTTAATTTTTTAAAAGTTTTTTAATTTATTTCTTAATTAACAAAATGTTTAGAAATTAATCTAATTAATGATTTATTTTGTGTCTTTCCAGGTTTGGTCTTGACAATTGTGTCGGATCTAGCGTCACAGACTGTATCAAGGGATACTTTCCTGATCCAGCTCCAAACTGGAAGATGACGGCGAGCCACACAAAAAAGACGTGGTTCAAATCGTTCGCTGTAAGTTTAATTCGTTAATTTATTTTTAATTATTTAAAATTATTAATATAATTGAACTAATCCGTCTTTTATTTTTTCTGGTTACAGCAAAAGTATCGTTGGTCTATTGGGATTCACCAGCGAGTGAAGAAGGAGTTTGAGGCCAAGGCAAGAGCACGATTGCTCGACATGGTCTACAACTGCAAGGGCGACTATGAGGTATAGATTTATAAATTATAATATATATATAGTTTTTAAAATATTATATATGTATTGACTTTAATTCTAATTTTTTTTTAAATCAGGTGGATGGTTACGAGGCCGGGAAACCCAATTGCCTCACAACCACGGTGTGGGATGGCCTCATCAGCTATTGGGGGTTGCCGGACTCGGTCAGAACCTCAAATACAAACTCCGGGAACCACATGACCAAAGACGAGCATGGCAACACGAAGGTGCTTCACACCACGGGTCGAAAACCTCACGGGGGAGTTCGTCTAGACATGGTAAGATGATTTTTAATAACAATTTAATTTTTATTTTATTTGAATATTCCAAATTAATATTTAATTTTCTAAATTAATTTTAGGCTAAGGAGACAGGAGTTCTTCCATCTCTGAAAGACCTTTACGAGAGGATCCACCGGAACAAGGTTGGGCAGTTTGTAGATCCTGCTTCCGAGCGGATCTACAATGAGCTTGTTGCCCGAGTTGACGAACGCCAGACCCAGCTGACTCAGCAGACTTGGACTCCAGTCATATTATCCACTGTTTACGTGGATAAGATTTACGAGGAGGTAAATAATTTGTTTAACTATTAATTTTTAATATTTTTTTATATGTTTTCTTAATGTTATTAATATTTTTATTTCCAGGTCGCCCCTAGGAAAAAGAGGCATATCATCGGGATTGGCTCGGTTAACGATGTCCCTGCAGCGACATCATATTATCATTAGGAGCAGCACGATGTCAATGCTCAGCTGCGCTCGGAGTTGCAGGCGACGCAGTCTCATGTGACTTCGCTCACCGAGCATGTGACTTCTCTCACCGATGTCCTCGACATTATGGCGGTTGGAAACCCGCATGTGCAGGAGATGTTGCGTCAGAGACGGGAACGTGCAGGGATTCCAACCCAACAGCATCCACCATCACACAGCCGGCAACCAACTATGGAGAGGATTTGCCGAGCCAGGACGACGACCAGTTCGTTCAGCAATTTCATGACCAACATCCGTAGTTTTTTTTTTATTTTTAATTGTATATTAAGAATTTAAAAACTTTTTGTATATTATTTAGTTATTTATAAAATATTTTATTTTTTATTTTTTTATTTATAATTTGATTTTTTGATTTTTCAAAAATTAATTAATTATTTGTAATTATTTTTTTTAATAGGGAAAAAAACATTTCCAAGCAAAATCCTCGTAAAGGATTCCAAATAATGTCCTCGTAACAAGTTCTAGTAATTTCCTCGTAATCTATTACTACGATCTTACGAGGAAAAACTTACTATGAGCTTACGAGGAAAGCGTACGAGGTCCTTACGAGGAAAGCGTACGAGGTCCTTACGAGGAAAATATTACCACGCCTTTACGAGGAAACATTTCCTCGTAAATTCGCTAGGACCTTACGAGTAAAATGGCTTTACGATGAACGTGTTTCGAGGAAACGCGTTTCCTCGTTATTTCCTAGTAAAAGGCCATTTACTAGGAAATAACGAGGAAAAACCGTCCTAGTAATGGACGAGTTTTCTTCTAGTGATAAATCTATAATTATGCAAAAGACGACTTACACACGGTAGCTAGATTCTCGTTGTAATCCCCAGTAGTTTGATTTTTCTTTGTAGTTCGTTTCCTCTTAACGGTAGATCCAGTAGGCATAGTTTTTTTGGTTGTATCTCTCATTAATTCCTGCTGAAACCTTTCAGTATGCACAAAATCTTTAGCAGAAGATTTATAAGTGTTAGTTATAGAAATTTAGGATCATATCTTGTAGGGGATTTTGTGTGCAATTTTTTGTTTTTAAGAAATAAATATGCTTATAAATCTGGAAAATTATATATCTATTCTTTTTTTTGTGTGCTGCATATGGAAATCTTTATATCATATATATGCTAACAATTATAAATAAATTGGCAGGTTTACAGAAGACTCTTACTTAAAGAGCAAGAAATCTATCGATGAAAAGGAAACAGCAGGGTATGGAATCTCGAGCAAACATCTTCCTGCATATATCAAGCTTGATGGTAAAGTAAGTTCATTCGGATTATTACCAAGTATCTATAGATTTATAAGTTAACTGCAAAATGGTAGTTAGGGAAATATTGTTTATATGCATTTGATCTAATTTGTTGTTTGGTTGCTAAATCTTATAAGATGAGTATGAGTTTAGTACATAATTGAAGTAAATAATAGATTATGCTTATGCAATAAACTTAACTATTAGGTAGAAAATAAATTGAAGATAACTATTATCAACCAAACACAAATATAGAATAAAATATAATCTGAAGCATACTTTATTATAAGTAGTTCAAAGAAAACAATGACAACAGTTTTAAAAAAGCCAAACAGTAATTAAGAAAAACAAAATCTTATAGTATCTCTGATCACAATAATTTTATAATTTTAAATATATTACGAAAATTATATTTTGATTTTTGTACAATTTAAAAGCTTTAGTGCAATTGCAGATTCTGTTATTTAGTCCTACTGGTTAGGCAATTATCAAATTAAGTGGTTGTTTATACAAAATCTTTTTAGGTTGGAATCATGTATATATGACATAGATTACATCCATCTGGTTGTGAGCTCCAAGAAAAATTTCTTAGTAATGGCGTCTCAAAGGTACTTTACTGAGCTGTTAGATGAGTGGTTTCTGGTTAGCAATTATCAAATTGAGTTTAACTGATTGACATGAGTTTTAGTAATAACCAAGTTTAGCTTTATTAGAAGCAAGATTGAATAAAAAGAATTGAAATAACAAAGCAAATTTGAAAAAGAAACTGTAAAATCTCGAAACAACATGACTAAAAAATAAAGCTAAACTTCCTTTGTGTACTCCAGTTTCAAAATCTACAGCATAACTTCTTGGCTGGAGAATTCGTGTCATTAAGATCAGTATCTCCTTCCTTGCGCTTAGATGAAGAAGAACTGGAACCAACTCCTTTCTCATAGTCTTTGTTATGATCAATCATCTAGACAACAATTAAATAGTTCTAGTCAAGTACTAAACAATCCTTCTCATTAATAAGTCAAGTAGTAAACATAACAAACGTGGTACCTCGCAGGAAGTCGAAGAAGGCTCGGTGACGATAGTACTATCTATGATGGAAATCTTGAATGGATGGCTGGTTCTTCTGTAAAACCCTATAGCTGGGATCAGGGAGAAATTCTCGACGACCCTCCATTCACCAACATGCAAATCCTTAACACGATCAACGAAGAGACTCTTACAGATACAATGTATGCTGGTTCCCTACCATATAAATAATTGTAAGTGCAGGTATAGTAGTAGATTTCCAATTAATTATAGTGCACAAATAGGTTAAAAAGAAAGACATACCATTTTATCTTCGAGTATGAACTCCAATGTGTCTCCTTCAGAACAGTTTGAGAGTTGTGTCCACTTCTGAATAACTTTAACTTCAATCTTCCAAGAAATTTTAAATGGTTTGAGATTGCTCACGAAACTGATTTTTCTGTTTGTAACCATAGCCATAGTATTCTCTTATTTGCCATGAGGTGTGGAGAATGCTAGCTTATATAGGGGGCAAACAATCTAGGTTTGAAGGACTTTTTGCGTGCAACCATATTTTGCAGAAAGGAGAATATTTAGGATTCTATAAATCTTTTTTGTTATATTGGTATTCCAGATTTAGGTAAATAATAAGTTTTGTATTTCTTTGTATAAAAGAGATATCTTAGAAAGATAGGGTGCCGGAACGAAATACTTGTGAAGGACGTTTAAATCTCAAATCTCAAATCTCAAAATTAAACGTAATCACATGTATATTACTTATGCTAACAATATATCTTTTAAACCCGACTATTAAAAACTTTTCTTACTCTTTTTTTAAAATTATTTATAGGTAATGGGTTGGTTTTTCAAATCACATAGAGCTGAAGGGATGGCGGTCATATCTGCAACATATTATACAAACGGCCTAAAAAGGCATATTCCTCGAGCGCCATTATAACAGTTAGATTAAAATAGAATTCAGTTGTTTTGAATGTTATCAATAACAAACAAAACAATAGAAATCATTTGTCTGTGAAAATTAGTTTAGTTACACCATTTTATAGGCAACATATTATTAAAAATGAAAATATATATTTTATCTAATAAATATTATTTGAAAATGAAAATATGTTTGGTTTTCTTTTGTAATTTGCAACAATTTCTTAAACTTAACAAAACCTTCATTAGTAGGACAAATAAAAACGAAACACCAACTTCAATATAAAAAAACGTGTCTTAATAATTATTGAAAGCAAAAACCAAACATAAGATAAAACATTAAGAAACAACATTCGCAGGAAACAAACAGTAGATTATTCAACTAAACTTTTCACAGGATATCAGTTGCAATGTTATAAAATAGCTTAACCCTTTTGTATTGGTAACACTCCTTGCACACTTGGTTCATGTCATCGAGATTGCAGTTTCCCCGTGGCTCAATGTTAACCATACTAATATAGTACAGTTGCTTCCGAGTAACAGGGATTGATCTTAGTGAGTACTTGATTCTCTCCCAGCATTGATTTTTGAGGTTGAAATATTTTCTTCCCATTTTAGCATATCCAAATACTTTAGACCTTTTAGATAGTGACCTCTTGCCCTTAGTAACACACCGTAGAGATAGATACCATCTGCATAGCCCGCCTTGGCTGATTTGCGTAGATGGTGTAACCCTCTATGTTTATCGTCGTGGATAAAGTATTTTAGAATACCCTCGATATAGTGAGCCTCGGTGTTCCCATTCTCTAAGCAGAGATCCTTCAACTTGAAGTGGTCGCTGAGCATTTGACGTGGTTCCGAAACAAAATAACTCAGGTTCAAGTTTCGGAAATAGGTGATGGGAGATGTGTTCGAGTGGTGGTCTTCGTTGGAGGCAACACTCTCCTCATCTGATGCCATCTTATTAAGGCCTCTCTCTTAGTGTGTTTTTTTTGGGTGCTTATTTCTCACTCTCAATTTTCTTCATAATGCTATGAATCGAGATTATTGATAGCTTTAATAAGGGTGAGCCTTATGCAAGTTAAGGCTGTCAGAATGCAGGAATATTTTGAAACCACAACATAGCACTGTTGTGGAAGGTGTTGTCATACATCTGAAAAAGAAATAAGGCTGCAGCTCTATGTGTTGTCAGCTCAGAACCAATAAAAATGATCTTGCTTTTTGAATATAATAATATAGAGTCATAGCTATATTTTCAATAATTCTTAAAAAATAAGGCTGCAGCTCTATGTGTTGTCAGCTCAGAACCAATAAAAGATTAGTTTAGTTATACCATTTTATAGGCAACAGATATTCTTTAAAAATGAAATTGATTTTGTGTGCAATTCTTAAGTAATAAATATGCTTATAAATCAGCAAAATTATATATCTCTACTTTTTTATGTGCTGCATATGGAAATCATTATATCGTATATATGCTAACATTTATAAATAAATTGGCAGGTTAACAGAAGAATTTAATTAAAGAGCAAGAAATCTGTCGATGAAAAGGAAACAGGAGGGTATCGAATCTCGAGCAAACATCTTCCTGCATATATCAAACTTGATGGTCAAGTTAGTTCATTCTGATTATTACCAAGTATCTATAGATTTATAAGTTAACTGAAAAATGGTAGTTAGGGAACTATTGTTTGTATGCATTTGATCTAATTGTTGTTTGGTTGCTAAATCTTATAAGATGAATATGAGTTTAGTACATAATTGAAGTAAATAATAAATTATGCTTATGCAATAAACTTAACTATTAGGTAACAAACAGATTCAGATAACTATTATCAACCAAACACAAATATAGAATAAAATATAATCTGAAGCATACTTTATTATAAGTAGTTCAAAGAAAACAATGACATAAAGTTTAAAAAAGCCAAACAATAATTAAGAAAAACCTAAAACCAAATTGCTTCAGAAGATTATAAAAACATAAAACCAAAAAAAACCACATAGAACCATCAGAATCCACGTCTTAGTTGTCCTTGCTTGTTTCAGCCTCCCAATCATTTATCTTCTCCACCTTGATAGTTTTTGGGCACGGTTTCTTGGATGTCGAAGTTAAATCTGCTTCTCCTTCAGTCCACGTTTCCTTTCGCTTTGGGGATGGTGTGGACATTCCATCAGTGTGTTCTGGAGTGAGATTAACAGAGGTCTAAAATATGTAACAAAAAAAACATTATAGTAAGCCTTTTTATCCATAAAATTAACTACCAGTTACTATCATCTACATTAGATAAATAACAGACAAATTAAGACTACCTCTTCACCACTTGTAAGAGCCAAAACCGGATCAGATTGAGAGTTCTCGAGACTGATTGAATCAGTTAAAGCAACCATTCTGTCTTTGTAGATTTTCCCAACCTTGTAGAGCTCAATCCATAAGATACATGCTCTTTTTCCACAGAGATCCCAAATGTGAATGTCTTCCCAACAACAGCAACGATGGCGTCAGGCATGTCTGTAGGATCCTCAAGCTAAATCACAAAAATAATCGTTAATGATATTTGTAACAAACTGCGTTAGTGATAAAAAAGTGCATTTAAGTATATACCTCATCGAATGATCCATTCATAAGCTTTGTTGCTGATTCAACAATCATTCCTTTGGCAACCAAGTCAAGAAGCACCAATTTTGTTTCCCCTGTATCATCCTTAACCATAAAATGCACCTTAAACCTACAAACAGTAAATGAGAGTGTAATTATTAATGCTTTAAGATCTAATCAGTTACCAAAAGTAACAAAAAGACTTACCTTGGCGACACATTGGAGACATTCTCTTTACACACCTCACACCACCAGATATGAGTAGTTATCTCTTTACCATTTATATTTTTCACTAAAGTGCCCACTTTTACCACCTTTTTGTTGCATATGCAACAACCAAAATAATATCAACCCCAGTCGGAGTCAATTTCATAGACAGTGCATGTGACCAAGCACTTTTCAACCTGATAACCACTTGATTGATCAGTGAATATAACTGAGCTTATTTTAAAGTAAATCAAGTCATGTACCTGAGTTGAATCAAGTAGTTCACGAATGGTTCTTCTTGGAAAGAGTAACCATTTATCACGCTTGTCTTGGATACTTTTCATCTCATCCAACTCAAGTTTCTCATCATGAGACTCCCAGACGGCGAGGGTTTTGTCCTCATCCCCAAACCTAAAAATGGGTCAAAACAACATAATGAAATCAGTTTCATTATGTTGAATACATGACACTGCACAAAACAGAGAATATTTATGATGAATGATAACACAACATTTGTTTGAAGGCAGCAGTCTCTGGAATCTCAGGATTAAGCAAAAGTTGTGATACCTCAAATGCATTGGTGATTTGGAGTTCACCTGATCAAATCTCAAGATAGTGAGTATATTATCCTTCGTCTAACATCCCACATAAACATAATAGATGAATAAAATAACTTTAAATCTCGCGATCTTGGCAAACCTGATCAGACATATGGGTTTTCCCTCTTCGTCTTTACTACAACCCTCATATAGGATCTCAGCGAATTTTCCCCAGAGGCAGCAGGGAACACGAGAGTCACTATTATGGAGAGTAGAATTCGAATTAAATGACTATGAACTTCAAGATAATAAGCTTTGAGTTGAGAAAAACTTACTTGATGTCACTGAGTGTAAACTCCACTTTCCTTATCGGTTTCCCTGCGACTTGGATTGTTTCAAGCTCTCCCAAGTCGACAACCTGATCAATCACATCTGCAAAATAATTTTAAAGAATTAGAGTTACATGTTATTGTTAAATATAATAAAAAAAATTTTGATTTTTAAATTACCAATGAGAAAACTTGTGTTGAGTGATCCACTCAAAATGGACTGAAAGTCCACCAAACTTAAGAACATATCTTCATTCACTTCAGAAGACCTCGTGATTGTTGTACTCTGAAGGATACTCATCTTGTAGGAATGATCAGTTGCTCGATAGGATCCAGTTGCGCCACTGAGGCTGAAATTCTGAATCTGTCTCCGTGCTCCAACAGGAAGAAGGCGTCCTTTACTCTCCATGTAAGTTTTCTTGCAAGAAGCATGGATTTTATTCCCATAGTATATGCATTAAACATTGAATAATAAACTGTTAGAGATCACAACTCAAAGCTATAAACATTCAATCTATACTATAAACACAACACGTATATTTAAAAAACTCACATGCTCATCGGATAGCACAACCTCAAGGCTGTCTCCGTGCACTGCATTGTATTTCTTCCAAGTGTGCAATACTTTCACATGCACTTTCAAACCACTTTTGAAGGGTTTCACATCTTTCAAAGAAGTTACTTTCATTATGGAAGACATTTTTGCGTTGTTTTGAAAATTGTAGCTGTGAGGAGGACAATGTGAGGAAACTGACATACTCTATCGATCTATATATACTAATATTTAGTATTAGGTTAAACTCAGGTCTCAAACCGTCGGATAAAATGGAATATAGCATATTCGATTTCAGTTATGGAAAAGATTTA